GAGGATATATTTATTTATTTTAAGAGATAGACTTATTTTATTTAATAATTTATGTTTTATATCAAATTTTAACAATTTAATTATTAAATTAAAAAATTTTAATACATAAATTAAATTTATAAATTTAAAAACTATTTAATATTTTATTTCGTTACTTCAAATTAATGTATAAAATAATTTTATAATTATCTAATAATGAATTAATTTTAAAAGTTTTTTCCTAAAAAAACTTTAATTTATTTTTCAAAATGTCTTTTTAAAAAGTACATTTTCTTAGAAACATTTTTTTTTTAATTTATAAAAACGAACCCATAACAACTAATTCAAATTCAAGCATACATCAATAGGAACATATATGCTAAGAAGGGAGAATACTATACTTCATAATACACCTCTTTTAATATATTTATTTTTATTTATTAAAAACTATAAAATTAAGAGAGTCACTATATAAAATGTGAAATGTATGGAATTTTATATTTGTAATAAATTTTAATCAATTAAAGAAAATTGTTTAAAAGAATATATTATGTCGCTAACAAAATTTCTTACATGCATGCATCCAAAATAATAATAAATAATAATAAATAAAAAAACCGTAAACTTGACCATGCACATAAAAACAAAAGGAGCGATTAGCAATAGCAATGGAGCCTCACTATTGAAATTCATAATTTATAATACCATGATGCATCACCAAACACTTTTTCTGGCTTTAATTTCCCCATCCACCAACCAACAACAAATCAACCCCCATCCCATGTAATGCCATCACCTCTCTCTTTCTGCCATCTCCTTTCCTCAAACCAATAAAGCCAATCACCCCTCACACCCTCACACCCTCACTCACACTCTCTACTCTCTTCCCAATCCCAAAAACAATGGCTTCCAACCTTAGCCTACACCTCTCATTCCTAGTATCAACACTTTTCATAGTCACAACACTTTCCTCACACAAACACACCACTCTTCTCAATGTCACCTCCTCCCTCCACCAAGCCCACCAAATCCTCACCTCCACCCCAAACCTTCTAGAACAATCCACTCCCACAACCACACCCACACCCCACCTTCTACAATCTTCCACTTCCTTCTCCCTCCACCTCCACCCCAGAGAAACCCTCCTCAACTCCAACTCCCCCAACTACAAAACCCTAGTCCTCGCCCGACTCGCCCGCGACTCAGCCCGAGTCACCTCGCTCCACTTAAAGCTCCAACTCGCCCTCACCAGCCTCGCCAGATCCGACCTCCACCCGACCCGACCCGAAGACCTCTCCGCCCCAGTCTCCTCCGGCATCGGCCAGGGCAGCGGCGAGTACTTCTCACGCGTCGCCGTCGGCAACCCCCCGAAGCCCTTCTTCATGGTCATCGACACCGGCTCCGACGTCAACTGGCTCCAGTGCAAGCCCTGCTCCGACTGCTACCAACAAACCGACCCGATTTACGACCCGACAGCATCCTCCTCGTACGCGCCACTAACCTGCGACGCGCAACAGTGCCAAAACCTCGAAACGTCGGCGTGTAGAAACCAACGCTGCCTCTACCAAGTCTCCTACGGAGACGGATCCTTCACCGTAGGTGAATACGTAACCGAAACCGTTTCCCTCGGATCCGGGTCGGTTAACAGAGTCGCAATCGGGTGCGGACATGATAATGAGGGCCTCTTCGTCGGGGCCGCTGGGCTTCTTGGGCTCGGTGGTGGGCCTTTGTCATTAACCAACCAAATCAAAGCGACGTCGTTTTCCTATTGTTTAGTAGACCGCGACTCAGGGAAATCGTCCACACTCGAGTTCAACTCGCCTCGACCCAGTGACTCGGTCACTGCACAGTTAATCAAAAACCAGAAATTAAACACATTCTATTACATCAAACTCACCGGATTCAGCGTCGGCGGGGAAGCCATCTCCGTCCCGCCGGAGACTTTCGACGTTGACCAGTCCGGTGCCGGCGGCGTCATCGTTGATTCCGGCACCGCCATCACGCGGCTGAGGACCCAGGCCTACGAGGCCGTTCGCGACGCGTTTCGAAGGATGACGCAGAACTTGCGCTCCGCCGAGGGAGTGGCGCTGTTTGACACGTGCTACGACATGTCGTCGCTTCAGACCGTGCGTGTGCCGACGGTGGCGTTTCACTTTGGCGGTGGCCAGACGTGGAATTTGCCGGCGAAGAATTACTTGATTCCGGTGGACGGCGCCGGGACTTATTGCTTCGCGTTTGCGCCGACGTCGTCGCCGCTGTCGATTATTGGCAATGTGCAGCAGCAGGGGACACGTGTCAGCTTCGATCTAGCGAATTCTGTAGTGGGATTCTCACCCAATAAGTGCTAGATCTTTTTATTAATTTACATTAATATTTAACCTTATTGTTATTAGTATTAGATTTATATGCTCCTTTTGTTTTTATAGCTTTCAAATCTTTACAAATTTTCCTCTCAATTTCTTTTTTCCCCAAGTTTCTCTCTAGTTTTCAAAAATATGTGAATTGTTTCCAAATGAAAATTTTAGGTGGTTTAAAGAAAAAAAAATTGTTATAATGTATCGGTTCAAAGGAAAAGTTGTACACAATTATCTTAATTATAAATAAAACTTACATGTAAAATTATATATGTGTGTATTTTAGTGTTGTTTTTATAAGGATCGAATTGTATCTTTGATAATATATTTTGACAATTTGGTGAAATTATTATAATTAATGATGTTAGTAAGTTTATATTATTATTATTATTATTATTATAATTATAATAATTATTATTAAAAGCTACTATAGGGAGTGACCCACTCGGCCACTCAATTAAATTTGGGTTTGCCTTGGATTGCGTGAGATTGTATTGGGATATCCAATTTTTAGCTTTTGAAAAATGGTTTGTGAATTGTGATTGAATACTCGATGGCATGGCATGCAAATTTTATCAAGCTTTGGGTCCATTTTGGCTAGAAAAGTAGTTTGTGATTGAATGCTCGTTTCATACTACTTTGTACTTTGTGGTGTCGGTGTAAAGGCTTGCATGTAGGCCACATGGCTAACAATGTGACAATGATATGAGATTAATTTCACAAGGGATTGTGTGTGGCTAGTTATGCATCACTTATTTGGATAAAGAAGGGTTTCAGGGATGTTTGTCTGTTAATTTTTTTTATTTTTATTTTTATTTTTTATCTTCTCATTTGTGGCACTCTGTTGACTAGAGTCTACCTGTAACGATAAGGAAGACAGTTTAATAATAATGTTGTTTGGTACTAGTGTGAAATAAGGACAATAACCTTTGGGTGACTTTGGTCTAATTCAGTGTTTGCCGGGAGATTACGAAGGGATAATCTAGATTCTTTTATTCTTGTACCAAAATTAGATGCACTACAAGGTGATTATTATGGTCATTGTTTATTAAAATTTGTTTGATTTTTGCATTCGTTGAGTCTTAAGAAACAATTTTATTTAACTGTAAGCTTAACTAATGGAGTTAATTAGAGAATAGTAATAAGAAAGTTTTGCATGGTGGGTAAGAATATTTGGAAACATTAAATTGTTGGGTCAAATATCCGTGATTGTAGGCGAAATAATGCATGGGTAGGGTAGTAAATAGGGGTGGTGGTGGTGTGTTATCACTTATCATGTCCTCTGGCGTTTTCAACAGCTGGATCCCACTCCAGAGTTCTCATTTCAAGAAGGGTCTGCCTCTCCTTAATGGCTGTCACACGGACATTGGTTAGAAAATCAAAATATATAATTGATATATTATTTTTATTAAAAAAATTATTAACTTATCTTAAAAAGTGTGTTGTAATACTACCTTCCTTAAATTTATTTTACTTTTTTATTTGTCTTTCCGTTGCATTTAATAATTATTTTAATATTTTTATTTAATAAATAATTTTTTACAAAATATAATAAATGTTTGAAATTAATTATATAATAATTTTATCTTTTATTAGAATTAGAAAAAATAAATAAACACATAGATATATTTCCTTCAAGGAATTATTAAGTGGATTGAGAAGATTAATTTTAGTAAAGTAGTTTAAATTATTGAGAAATTTAATTCTCTTAATTAAATTGACTAACATTTTTTTAAAAGTATAATTTAGTTGAAAGGATTTTATAATTAGGGATGGAGATAGTAGTACATGATACTATTTTTTGTCTCATAATAAATGTCCTTCTAGATTATTTTATTCAGATCAAGAAAAATTAATAAATAGAGGACATATAATATTAATTTTACAAAATTAACCTTATAATTCTTTTTCTAATAAAAATGATGTAACACAAAAATTATTTTTTACATAATATTATTAGAAGTATAAATGTAAAAGAGATAATTAATACTATATTAAAAAATTAAAATAATACTTATTTTATGACTTATTTTTTTTCTTCTAATGCAATACTTACAATGAAACGGATAAAGTACTTTTTAATAAAATAAAAATTACTTTTAATTTTTTTAACTAATAGTTAGCATTTTCCTTTCAAGAATATATTTTCTTTTTACATTATTAACAAATAATAGTTCTATCTCTTACTATTAGTTTAATAAACACTGAAATGTGTTATATTAATTTCTTTGTAATATTAACACGATAACTAATTGGAAATCATACATAAATTTAAAAATAACTGAAATTTAATATATATATATATATAT